AAACCCTGCCGTAATAGAAGAACAATTAAACCAAGAAGAAAATTTTCAGTTTGTCCATCCCCAAATAAACGACACATAGACCTTAATAATTTTTTGCCCAATTCATTGCCATACATTCAAATTTCAAATCCACCCCTAAAATTACTTATTGACACTGGATGTCATCCATCCCTACTTCGCCCCTTTGTAGCCGAAAAATATTTTCCTAATAAAATCTTTCATTGTAATACCCCTATTATCACCTGCAACGGCCATAGCAAAGCAGAATTCAAAGCCGATATTCCTCTTTTCAATGAATTTAGACCTCTTAAAGGAAACTTAGAATTCGTATTATATAATTTCCATGATTACTTTGATGGAATAATAGGTGTACGAGATCTTCGTAAACTTAAACTAAATATAGATCTAGAGAATAAAATTCTTTACAATGCCCATATAAAAATACCTCTAATGTATAGAAAACAATTTAATACCCAAAAAATCGAAATTCCTCCATATACATCGACCTTAAAAAAAATTAGGACCAATTTATCTGACGGTGAGATTATCATTCCCGAAATATCAAACAATACAATTATAATACCTAGTTCACTTTTACAAATTAAAGATCATTCGACAGTTATAGAATTTTCCAATCCCACTTCTAAAACAATACTCTTACAAATAGATGAAAACTTCTTAAATCCATTTGCTAATATATATGAAAATGATGAATTTGAATGTTTTAATATTGAAGAAGTATTACCAAAACAAAGATATGAAATAAATGAAGATTTTGACTTTTCTCTATTTAGAACAGCTCATATGAACTCTGAAGAAAAAGCTGCCATAAAAAATCTCCTTATTAAATATAAAGATATCTTGCATAAACCTGATCAAAAATTAACATTTACTAATAAGATTAAACATGAAATTAAAACCACAGACGAAATACCTGTGTACACAAAATCATATAGATACCCTTTTGTACATAAACAAGAAGTCCAGAAACAAATCTCTAAAATGTTGGAAGACGGTATTATTCGACCATCACAATCGCCCTGGAGTTCCCCTATTTGGATTGTACCAAAGAAAGCAGATGCCAGCGAGAAAAAGAAATGGAGAATAGTAGTAGACTATAGAAAAATTAATGAAAAAACTATAGATGACAGATACCCCTTGCCCAATATTACGGATATCCTGGATAAGCTTGGAAGATGTCAATATTTTACAACCCTCGACTTAGCTTCGGGTTTTCACCAAATTGAAATGCACCCAGACTCCATCGCTAAAACAGCATTTAACGTAGAAAACGGACATTACGAATATCTTAGAATGCCGTTTGGATTAAAAAATGCTCCTGCCACTTTTTCAAGGGCTATGGACAATATTTTAAAAGGCCTAATTGGTAAAGTATGTCTTGTCTACATGGACGACATAATAATATTTTCGACTTCCCTTCAGGAACACATTAATAGCTTAAAACAAGTATTTGACAGATTAAAAGAAGCTCATCTAAAAATTCAATTAGATAAATCTGAATTTCTTAAAGACTCAGTAGAGTTCCTAGGACACGTAATTACCCCAGAAGGTATCAAACCAAATCCAAACAAAATTGTAGCGATTGAAAAATTTCCCATCCCAACAAATCCAAAAGAAATAAAATCCTTTCTTGGCTTAGTTGGCTATTACCGGAAGTTTATAAAAAACTTTTCAAAATTAACTAAACCATTCACAAACTGCCTGAAGAAAAATCAAAAGGTAGAACATACACCAGAATTCGTGAATGCCTTTAATATATGTAAACAAATATTAATGAACGACCCCATTCTACAGTATCCCGACTTTTCTAAACCTTTTCTTCTAACAACCGATGCTTCAAATTACGCAATCGGAGCCGTCTTATCTCAAGGACCCATCGGATCTGACCTTCCAATCGCATACGCTTCTCGAACATTAAACCCTGCTGAAATTAATTATAGTACCATCGAAAAAGAACTTTTAGCAATCGTTTGGGCAACCAAATATTTCAGACCCTACCTTTTTGGAGTAAAATTTAAAATTATAAGTGATCACAAACCGTTACAATGGTTATTTTCACTCAAAGAACCAAATTCCAAATTAGTCCGTTGGAGACTGAAATTGGAAGAATATGACTACGAAATCATCTATAAAAAAGGAAAAGCAAACACAAATGCAGACGCACTTTCTCGAGTAGAAGTCAACCCAATCGAGACTGACGACATAGATATAGACAACTTATCAATATTCGCAAATCCTGAAGAACGAGACGAATTAACAGACTTTGACTATCACGAAATTGAATCCCTATTAGATTCCATTCAAATAAATCGCGAGAATCGCCCACAAAATGAAGACACTATTCAAAACTCAAAACCTAAGATAATAATTCACAGTGATATACTTATAAACGCAGAAAAAAACCCGACATCACCTGAACAAGAACAACCTGAAATTATTACCGATCCACTTCAAGAACCCAATGCCAATCGACTTATATATGCCAATATTTTCCAGAAATATTTCAAAAATAACGCATTTATTCTATTCAAAACAGATACTATTCTTACGGATGTTACAGACGAAGACGAAAGAAAAGAAAAGCTAAAATTATATCATGAAACAAAAACCAGTCATAGAGGAATACAAGAGAACATAAACGCCATTAAGCGAATATTCTACTGGCCCCGATTAGAACAAGACGTTAGAGAATATGTAAACTCATGTGAAATATGCCAGATGACAAAATACGAAAGACACCCTACAAAATTAGTATTTAAACCTACACCTATAGGTTGTGAATCGTTTGACCACATATATACAGACACACATAAAACACATGGACAATATTTTGTCACAATCATAGATAGCTTTTCTAAATTTGGACAAGCCTATCCTTTAAAAACCCCTAATTCAGTTGAAGTTGCAAATAAACTTATACAATACTTTAGCCACTTTGGACTTCCAAGACGCATTACAACCGATAACGGAACAGAATGGAAAAATGAAGTCATCCAAGGCTTATGCAAAACTCATCATATAGAAATTCACTACACAACCCTCTATAATCCCAATAGCAACAGCCCTGTTGAAAGATTCCACTCAACTCTAAGCGAAACAATTCTTACCCTTAAAAATTCTAAGCCCCAAGAGCCAATCGAATCTCTTATGAACTTAGCATTACTATCCTATAATAATTCTATTCACTCTTCCACTAGTTACACACCTTTTCAAATTATCCGTGGAAGACTAGATTACAGAAATCCCTTTGAAATAGACGAGAAAACAAAAATCGCACAATATATACAAGACCACACCCAAAACCTAAAAACTTTAAACAATCTAATAAAACAAAACTTAGAAACAAAACAACAGAAAACGCTTGAGAAAATTAACGAAAATAGACAATCAAACGTAGAGATAGATACTAAACAACCCTTATATAAATTTAAGAATAAAAATGCATCAGAAAAGAAAAAAGCAAATCGTTACGAGAAATTAGAAGATCCCACTATCGTTAATGATATTAAATTTAAAACAAAATCTAAAACTTATCACAAAAGATTATTAAAACCACAACGTCATTTTTTAGGAGAGAAAAATGATCCAATACATCATCATTATACTTTGCGCTCTAAAGGAACTGCAAGCACTAGCCATAACCGAAATTAACAACCCAATATTACCTGTGTACATTGGACAATCTCATGTAATTACCTCCAAACATACCTTTCTTTATCACATTAACCTAACATACCCAGAAAACTCACTTTCTCAAATTAAAACTTCACTGACAAATCTCGAAACTACTTTTAACGACCTAAATACACTTTTCAACATTTTTAAAACAAAAACTTATTAATGCACAAACAATTACTGATATAATTCAGAAAAAATTAGATTCCTTCTTAAAATTAAGCGAAATAAAATAGCCTTACTTAATGTTATAGGAACAATACAAAAATGGCTTTTTGGTACCTTAGATTCAGAAGACGGAGAGTACATAGAACAATACCTAACAAAACTACATTTAAATGAACAGACTCTCCACGACGATCTAAAAACCCAACAAAGTCTTATACAACAAATGTCAGAAACATATAGTAATAATTTCAAAAAAATAAATGAAAATCAAATAACTTTAGAAATTCAACTAAAAAATTTATCAAAAGAAATCCGTTCAGTAATAAACTTAGAACGTTCTTTTTCATTTTCCAATATTATAGATAATTTATTAATACAATTGCAATCAATTGAGCATATAATAAACAATTTAGAAACTGCAATTTCTTTCGCAAGAATAAATATTTTACATAGTTCAATAATAGAACCCAGTTATATAAAAACAATGCTTGAAAAACTGGAACAAATATATGGAAATTCACAAGTACCAAAGTTAAAACAAATTCTAAATTATTACTCATTATTATCTACACAAGTAGTTATTCATAATAAAATGATTCTATTTAAAATTCACGTTCCATTAGTCAATTCCCAATATAAACTTTTCCATGTATACCCCATACCTATATCAAATTATACCATTATTCCCGAACAACCTTATATGTTGCTCAACATTGAAACATACTGGACCACATCAGAGAAATGCCCTGAAATAGAAGATTGGTATTTCTGCCTCGAGATTAACTTACACCAGCAACAAAGTTGTCTAGCGGACCTGATCAGAACAGGAAAAAACTCATGCTCGCAAACAAAAATACACTTCTCCGAAACAACAGTAACACATCAACTCAAAAACCATCCTTATAATACCAGCCAATAAGACAACAGTGAAAACATCCTGTGACACTGATGGAATATTTGAAATATTTAAACCAAGCACCATATCACTAGAAAATTGCAAGATCCTCGTCAACCAGAAAACGTTTCAGTCCAAAACTACTACTCATGAACAATTTGTATTCCAACTGCCCCAGATAGAAATAAACCAGGTAAAGAAACAAGAAAACCAAGAGATATTTCACCTCAAACAAATCAACATGGATGAAATTGACCGAGTTAAAACCTTAAGTAACCTTCTACAAACAAGAAATCTAGAAAATGCACCATCAAGACATGCGTGGATCAACATGACGACATCATTAGTTATAGTCACTATACTTTTAGCCATCATTATATACTTTGGTATGAAGAAATACCGCTCAGCACGAAAACCAGAAAAGGAAGCCAGCCAGAAAATAGAAGAACCCCTATTTTCCGCTCTGATAAGGGAGGAGTTATAATGTATAAAATTCCCGATATGTATTTTTACTCATAGTCGTACTTTTCCTATATTTGATTATAATGAGATTTCTACCAATTGTAAATATTCCTAATTATGTTATTTTCTAATTGTACTTTCCCTATATTTAACTTTAACGATATTTATATTTATTTGTAATGATAATATTTTATATAAAAGAACCATAAACTAAAATAAGAGTTGCTGAAGTCTCTTCCAAACTAGTAGTTGAGATTGTAATCATTAGTTGGAAGTTATTTATTTAATAAAAGTTTTTAAAAACAAGTTTTCTAAGAAGAAAAACAAAATTCATGTAAATAATAAGTATTTATTAAACTTATAACTTATTTATTATAATTATAATTGATCATTTAATATTAAAACACACATAAAAAATAAAGGTAAATAATCTAGGAGTAATAAAATCAACAAGCCCAAAGCATAACTTGATAATCTTATATAAGACAGTGTGTGTTTTCTTTCCTAGAAAAAAACTAGATTAAAAGCTTGTTACACCAGTAAATAAAAGTGAAATATGGCGATAAGTTGTACTTTTTCGTGTCGCCACTAAATTGCATGAAAATTCAGATTTCAAGAAAAAAAAAGACTAAGCTTAAGTTTAAAAGTAAATGAGAGGGTAAGAGGAACCTTAATCCAAAGGCTATAGCAAGATAAGCTGCATGATAAGTTAGGCACTTAAAAGTAAATAATTGGAATTTAGGCCCCTTTAGTAAATTTTTCAGCCCCTAGGTCGTCACTGGGGTGTCCTATCGAAAAAATGTGATTTTCCAAAAAAAAAAACAAATTTCTGAGCGTTTTTTTTCTTAAAAAATCTGAAAAAGTTGCCTAACATACATACATTTAAATGCCCAAAAACCCTCTGGCTTTTTTAGATTTTTTGGATCAAAATTAAGCCCAGAAAAATATTTGAATTTTTTAAAGAATTTTTAGGTTATTTAGGAAATTTTTGGCAACTTCTAAATCATTATTTTTATTTGTATGGCAAGGTTAGATGTTCCATTCTTGCTTTGGAAAATCCTTAAAATTCGAAAAACCCTTTTTTGGTATTTTTCTCATGGTTTTAGCACATAATCTCAACTGTATGTCAATAAATAACGATTTTTGGTATAATTTTTTGTTGTTTATAATACATCAGGATTACCATTTTTAGACCAGAACAAACGTAAAATAGGAAAACCCTAAACCGTAAAATATTTTTTTCCGATGTCTTAAGCACATAACCTCAATTAAATGTGACAAGTAACGATTTTTGTTTCTCTCCCCTCTTTATTCGAGTGGTAATTATTTTGTCCATAAACACTCTGATTGTTTTTAGATTTTTTTGGATCAAAATTGAACTTTTGGTTAAAATATGACGAACCGTCTTTTTTTTGAAATTTTTTCCATGTTTTTAGCACATGACCTTAACTACATATGGCTATTGTTCTGAAGCTATTTAATATAAATAATATTTAATAAAAAATCAAAGAAGCGGCTCTAATTATGTTAAATGAGGCCAATTGTGTCGCAAATTCTTCGGCAGAATGTAGTAGGATCTGGTTACCAATATTGAAAGAGGAAGTTATTAATAAGAAAATACCAGTATTAGTAAGTCAGTAACATATAGAGGATACATCATTTATGTTTTTTAAATAACGTAACATATAAAATCAGAATTTTGATGTTTGTTGAAGGTAAACTAAATTCACGAACAAATACTTACAATGTCGGGATAGTATTATGAGGTTTTTTCCTGGTTTTCCCTCATAATTTACTATGGAATCACTAACAGGAGAATTTTACTGTCATCATGTCATGTGTTTGTCTTTTTAAAGACGAATTACATGCTATGATTTTTTTCTGACGGATATTCTCAAGTTAAAGTTGATTTCATGTAATCGAATGAACTATCTTATAAGTAAAGTCGTCCCAGCAGCGCAACTCAACAATATTGGCAATATCATTTTAAAGTCGTCTACTTTAAAATGCATAATGTATGTCTGAATTGTCAATATAAATGAGTCAGATAAAATTAAATTATTAGAAGAATTTTTCACTATGTAACAAAAAACAAAATTTGTTTAATTTACTGTTTGTATTTTGAGAACGATTTCCGAAGTGGAAATTGAAACGTCAATAAACGTATTTTTATCTTTAATTGTGGCTTATTCCCAGTTTAATAGTAATTAATTTACATATGGCTAAATAAGTTTTTCATAAGATATTTCTTCATCTTACTTGTGTCTTCCAAACAACAGGCTTCAGGGTGGCCACGAGGTTGTGTATCGGATGAGGAGAAGACCGGATACATCGAGGAGTTTCTCCAGAGGGAAGATGTACAACTGGAGTTTTTCGAAATATCAGAGAACCCCGGTCTGAGGTCGTTGGCTAAGCTGATGCTTTATTCATTCTGGGGTAAGTTTGCGCAGCGAGAAAATCTTCCTAAAACCTCCATTGTTGACAAGCCTGGAGAACTTTTTGCAATGTTGGTTAACTCTTCCATTCATGTTAACACAATAATTCCTGTGAATGAGGAAACACTTGCTGTTACGTGGGAGTATGTCGAGGAAGCGTCTTCTCTGTCTTCCACTGTGAACGTTGTTCTGGCCTCATACGTTACGACTTTAGCTCGTCTCGAATTATACTCTTATTTATAGATTATTGGGGATCGGGCATTATATTACGACACAGATTCATCTATTTACATTTCCAGAATCACATTTCTCAACCTACCTACTGGCGAATGTATTGGTGATCTTACTGAGGAACTCGGTGGTGGATATATTTCAGAGTTCGTTTCTGGAGGACCTAAAAATTATGCATAGAAGTATACTTTACCTAATAGCGACGAGAAAATTTGTTGTAATGTTAAAGGTATTTGTCTTAATTATAATAATTAATTTTAATAAAATAAAAACTATCTCTATACTAACTAAACAGGTCAGACGAACAACAGATCACCTCGTAATCACGCAAGAAATCCAGAAAAAATATAGACCAAATTCAAGCAAAAGAAAATTTTTCGATGATTTTAGATCTATACCTTTCGGCTATAAAAATTCAAAGTTTAAAACTAACACCTTTTAATTATTAATTTTTGTACAATTTTTAATTTTAATTCATATATTAATGTAATATTTTTTTTCTACTCTCTTACTAGTAAATTGTATATTACCTACTATTTGGATGCTAAGTAAATGCATCATAACAGATACTGACACGTAATGACTAGCACGTAATAAAAAAAATTACGCTTCAGTTCTATAAAAATGTGTAATATCACATAAGCCTTGTAAGTCAGTTGGTCGAGTTACCATGGAAACGAATTAACAGGCGTTGTTTTGACAGGTTAAAAATTATTATTCTGTCAGTGTAAATATAGTAGTAATTTAATATTTATTTTTATAAACAAAAATAATGGTAGAAAAAGTATAGTACACAACTTGAGTTGTAAGCTTATTACATGCTTGTAAAATTACTGCGCTCGCCGCTACGCGGCTCGCGCGCAACTTTTTTACTCGCATGTAATAAGCTTCTTACAACTCTCGTTATGTAATATACTATTATTTTTTAGCAGCGTAATTTTTCCCCCTCTACTTTGTGATACAAACGGTTGTCTGTCACACTTAAAGTAAAGTTACTAAACGCTGTAATGGGTTGTCGCTTATCCTACCTAACTAACACAAGATACTTTGTCAGATCATCAAAAGATGATTAGTTAAGACCAATAAAAGATATCTGATGTAGCCCATCGGCAAATTAATGAGCCGTTCTGGTTAACTCCGAAGCCGTTAGTTGTGTAGCCGTTCATTATAAATATGGCTAAATAAGTTTTTCATAAGATATTTCTTCATCTTACTTGTGTCTTCCGGTATATCAGTCGGAATTATCATTTTTATATTACATTTTTCGTATTTATAAATTAACCCAGATATGCCCAACGTCCTACATATAGAACACCTGAAGCAAGTCCGATCCTGTCTCATTTTTGCCCAGTAACTAAATGTTTACTTCTAGGAACCACCCGATATAATAAAATATAAAACAACTATTAGTTACACCATAATATTTGTATAGTTAACATCAAAAATTGTGTAAATTTGATAACCGAGCATGGTGTTTCGTTCGCAAGGATAGCACAATTTTTATTTTTAAAACTATATAATTAACATTTTGGGGTGTACACTTTACGTAAAAAGAAGTATATTTAGCAATATAGGATGAACAGTAATGTACAAATATGTTATGATATATTTTTGAACCTCCACAGGAACATCCAACTTTTCCACAGTATCCTACATGTAAGATTTATTTTTGCGTAAATTACATGCTTTTATACAAAATATACCAATAATTTAGCATATGTCATGTATATTTACACGTCCAGGGGCTTTTCTCTAAATAATGCATTCTTTATGCTAAAGGACGAGGAAGATATGATGCCACCGATTCTCAAACTGATGAAGATTCTGGTGACGAAGACACTATTATCATGAATAATCTATCTGCTAAACAGCTTAGAGCGCCTACTGAAATAAATTTTCATAAATATATTACAAGGCAAAACATTTTCTCCAATACATAAGATGACAAAGATGGCCCATCAGTGCAAGAATATGAAACGCCATCAAAGAGAACAAAAACAAAAAAGAGAAAAAATATTTATAAATGGGAAACCGAAGATTTGGTGTATGCTGGTGAAGAATTTAGTAAAGATGAATAAGAAATACCTCTGAAAACCCCTTTAGATATGTTTTATTTATTTTTTGATGACAAAATATTGGACCTAATAATTGTCGAATCAAATCGATGTGCAGGACAACAAAACCATTGCCTGAAAATAGAAAAACATGAGATTAAAGAATTCATTGGAGTGTTATTACTTAGTGGATATGTGCCAGTTCTGAGGCGGAAAATGTTCTGGGAAAACGAAAGAGACAGTCAAAATGTACTGGTTTTCTGAAGCTTTGTCAAGAAATAAAATTGAATATAGTTTATCTC